GCTATTTTTTACAGATGTTGTGGATAACAGTGGGTATTATTTGAGTTGTTTACCTTTTTCATTCAGTGACCAATGCAGTCTTTGCTTATTCAGAAATCAAGAACGTATTCCATTGTTAATTTAACACTAAACGGTGGCTTGTTATACACGTACTTTTTTTCTACTGTTCAATGCATTTGCTATATGTCCTTATGGGTGCATACCTATGTTCCCCAATACCGATGTTCCGCGAAATCCCTACCCTATCACCCTAACCCTAACCCTAACCCTAGCCCTAAACCTAACCCTAACCCTAATCCTAAGAAATTCGGGGAACATCGGTAGCGGGGAACATAGGCATTGGGAACATCGGGTAGACCCCGTCCTTATGCTCGACCTTAACGGTGGCTATGTTCCGACATCCCTATGTTCCGAAACCCCTATGTTTTGACACCCCTATGTTCCGGTTAAGGTTATAGGCTTAGGCTTAGGATTAGGGTATGTGTCGGAACATATATAGGTGTGTCGGAACATAAGTGTGTCGGAACATTGGTTGTGTAATCGACCTTTACATTTTAATTGTCATATCTAAAGACCCTTTTTTCCCCGCGAGGCTTCAAAAAAGATACATTAGGCCTATGCATCACAGGAAATTAGTAATCTTGAAAACACTTTCATGAACTTTAAAAATGTAACATTAAAACAACTCGTATTAAACAAACTCGTATTATGCCGATGGTACAACGCCATTCAAGAAGAATCTTTTTAAGTCGAGTACGGTGTGATTTTATGGATGCAATGCAAAGCCATGGCCATGCAAATCGTATTAATCTCACGGATTTCGAAAACGCTGACAGTGTAAGGAAGTCATTGAGGAAATGGAATCATATAGCATGCTACGCCTCGTCGGCTTGTTTTCGTAACCTCTAAAATCCGCAGCTGTCATCTGGGTAATTGGCCGTAATTGTGTTTTCGTTGTCACCACAATTTCAGCGGACGAATTAATGTGACCTGGTTTTGACTGCAAAGGCAATTGGCGGATCAAACGTGCAGCCCAGCGCATCCCGCAAAAGTGGCTGTCTGAATGATACAAAAGCTAGCCTCCGGAAGCTCCTCAAATTGCTGCTTTTGTTGTTGGTGTGGTGGGACTATTGATGTATGCCCGTGATACTGATATACATCGATTGTTTATTTGGTTTGAATTACTTCTGGGAACACGACTGTTAAAACAGATACACCCAATATAAGTTCCACAATCACACGAGTGACCAAAGTGAACATGGTTATCGTCCTTCCACATAATTATGCACGCATTGTGTCTAGGGCAATCATCAGGAATTGGAAGTGTGTTTTATTCATTGCACTGTTCAAGTTCCAATACTGCGATGGTTGATTATACAAGAAGAAGATATCTCACACCAATAAGGAGGTTCCCATATATACACATACTTTCTACAAATTGATTCTAAGCCAAACGCGCTTAGAGTCAGACTTGCTTCAGAAGTTGCATTTTGCCTTTCCATTCTAGAATAAGAAAATCAATGTTGTTACAAGCTTATACTTCGGATATTGTATAAATATTGAGAGCGTTAGAAACCCACCACAAAAGTAAGGATAAACGAGACTATAAAAGAGTGGCTATATATACGTCCGCCCGCGATTCAAAGTTTGGTATAATACCAAGACTTTTGCGCGCACTGCGCCAAAACGCAAAATTACTTTATATCCGTAAAATAGTTTGTGGACATTATACATGTTGGAAACATCTTTTTATAGGCATATACATGTTAACATGTATATAACTTTGACATATGACATAAAACACCTGCCATTGGGAGATAATTATCGCTCACTGGGCGTCCGCACAATTTGACATAAAATTGACGTGACGTCATGGAAACTTCGTCTATTATGTACAAGTAAAAGAGAGTAAAACAGAGACTCAAGTTCCGTTTACAAATAATTGGTATTCTAAACTTAACTTGGAACTTATGATTGGGAGAGCCCTGCGGCCAAAATGTTCCACGACACAACAATTTGTTATTCAATCATGGATCCTTTCCAAAATGCAGCCGTGTTTGCTTCCCAAAAACACTTTGGGCAGGGATCATGCGATCTTATAACCCCAATCTCTCCGACTGACTGAAGAAATCACCGACGCCAACAGTGTCCCAAATCGCTGAATCTTTCATGTGCCCATGGCGCGTGCATCTATGTTATCGGACGATGTGAATTTGCTCTAGTGAACCGCCAGCAAGTTAAACAAAGATTACCAAATTGAACTCATCTATATTCATACTTGACTCTCACGAGTATCCATGTACGGGTCGCCAGTACATCATCTTTGGTGTTAAATGCCTCATTGGAGATGGCGACTTTGCCCCAGGAGCCCATGATTACTGATTACCTAATAAGGACAATAAGATCCATTGCCCGAACAACATTGCCCAATGGTTTCATCCAGGGCCTCCCTTGAGTGTTCATATCCTATCTAGAAAGTACAGGCTTTACATTGAGAAGTCGGCAGGGCTTATCTACTTATTCTCATTGGTTTTCATGCAGGGTCGGTTCACGCTCTGCCGTGAACCAACGCGAACAGGAGGTGGGCCAGATCGTATTAGGTCGTATTTTGGCAAAAGCGAACAGTAACGCGACTTTGTGACGTCAGGCAGGTATTTGCGCTGCGAATTGGCAAAAGTTGAACACATCTCAACCCCCGCAGCAAAATGTTTCCCAACGTGGAATTCGCTTTGCCATTCGAATTCCTTGCTGTATGAACAAGCCGTTATTTGTCAGCAGGTATTTGATGTTGGGATTCCAGAAATGTAGCACAATTACGATTCGCGGCGAATTTCGCGGCGAATATTTCGAGGGGTCAATTTCGCTTCGCACCCGTGTTCGCGTATAAAACTCCAGTCTAAGTAAAGGCCGGTTCCATACTTCATGCGAACGTGAAAGCGATGCAAATTTGACGTCCCGAAGCATCGGCGCTGCGAAATTCGTCGGAGTTGAAATGTGTTCAACTTTTGCAAATTTGCAACGCGAAACACGGCCTGACGTCACAAATTCGCGTTCGCGTTTGCTTTCGCGCCGAGTATGAACGGTTTATTCTCTCGGGATAACTTGTGCGCGGGACCGTGCGTCACTATGCGTCATTAGGGGCACTGTTCAGAGTCAATGAACAAAGCTATTCTCTGCATTATAAACATTTATTTTAGGAAGCGGGGGGGGGGGGGCTCACAAAGGTACAGTTAATTGGTGACATGTGAGACCCATAAAACAAATTATACGAAGTTACAGAACAATTCGGAAGCTGACTCGGAAGTACCACGTGAAGGAGCTCATTAAATACAGCGAAATCATCGGGTACGGGTACAGACTGTTTAAGTCGACCACTTTGGCCCGCTAGTTTACGCTAATTGCCCAGGTTTGAGGACTAACATCAATATTCAAGGTGCCTTTGCGCATACATAAACTTTCTCAAATCACACCGGTCCTTTAAATGTATTTTCCTTAGGGCCTATGGAAGCTTGTTCTGTTTACGTGTTTGCAATTCAGCGATGTAGACCTTGGCCTACAATCAAATACATCCGCTATTGTTTTTTTCTCAGCAATAAATTGAGGGCATATCACTTTGGACTATTTATAGAATCTTCGATCCCAGTTCTAGGATCTATAATTACACTGGCATGTTGAATGCAGCAATGTATACTCCCCGGTCCCAGTTGGTTAGATTTAATCAACACGGCCATTGTGTCATAGAAGACGACGGGCCTTAAGCAACCCGTCAATGTATCAATCGTGTCCCGAGTAATACGAACGCGGGTCGGGAGGAGACATTGAATTCCTTAACCTGACATTATATAGACATTCCTTGGCAAAAGGTTTAAAGCTTAAAATAATTAGAGAAAAAGTGGAGTAACCCCATTTGGTTAATGTTACAAAAGCTTAAGTCACGCCACACTTCCAATGGATTATATACAAGGAGATTTGCGCTTTCAATTTATGTAAAAGCATGTGATTTGGAAGCTTTTGAGCTGCTCCTGTGGGATCCGAACCCGACACCTGCTGCTTGTGCATAATCGCGTTCTGCCATGCCCGCTGCCCTATTCGGCGCCGTGCTTTGTTACGATGTGTAAAAGTTAGTCCAATGACTTACTGATGGAATTGTTTTCAGCAGTTATGCTTGCCGTACTTGCCGCTCTATAAGATTTGCACCAGCCAGCCGACACCCGCAACCTCGGTGATCGAGTTGAACCATCTGCGCTGAAAAGCGGGAGGTCGTGGGCTCGAGTCCAGCGCGGATACGTTTTGAAAGTTTGTTATCATTAGCACAGGCAAAACATTTAAAAATACTTAATCGACAATGGGCACCCTATACTGTTATAAGTACTGAAGTAACATTGGTGATGTTGGACAAGTATTTTCAATAAGAACCAGCACCGTCATGGTGGTGGATGCAAAACTGACACAATAACCTTTAGCAAAGTGGTGGAAACAAGTTAGTACTAACGAGGGGAAACGCATACATATAATGACCGGCAACATTGACTTATTTTGAATAGAGATATACGTGGTGTTCATGATTAAAGTGCCAAGGGTGTGTCACTTACAACCCCCAGAACAACCCCTTCCAAGCGGACGACTTGGTATCAGGAAGTTGGTAGGAATACGAATCTTAACTAACTTAATAGCTTGAATTGTAAACAACTGGTCATCAAAATCCTTAGATATGCGCGATGTTCAATTGGAGAAAATAAAGGATTTGCTCCAGTGCAACTGAATAGTGAAAAGACAGCTTCAAAAGTATGACAGCGGTAAGCCTTTAAGAAATCGCAAATGGAAGACAATAATTCAGTTTCTTTGAGCAAAATGGTGCATTGTGGTCTTCAGAAAGTGCAATATTTAAACCGTTGTGACGACATGCAATAGGTTTTGCTAAGCTGATCGGACTTAGCCGTGCACTTCAGAAAAAAAAAGGAATCCGACTTGACAGGTCCAAAGATGGTGGTTAAAATTACCTGGATTTCCACTGTTCCACGGGCAAGTGAGGCGCAGCGGCTCTAAGGCAAGGGAGAAGCAGGAGTAGAATGGCCGCCGAGACCTTGATTCGAATCCCCATCAGCCGATCCATCTAGACCGAGCACCGAGCACAAAGTGGATATCTGGCGCTTTGCAGTGTGCAGTTGAGAAGCATGCTAGCTGCGTATGTATACGGGGGGATCAGCACTCTCAGGCAACGCGCTTTGGTGTGTTCTTCATCCAATCGCACGTCTGTAGTTGGTGTGTATATATTTTTATGTAAGTGTGACGCGTGGTGCGCAGCTTTTATATAATGTAACCAGCCGAAGCTTTGATGCTTCAGGCTTTGCTCCTTCGTACAGCGGCCGATACGTTTCTCACTCGGCGAGGCTGGGGTGGGACGTGTCTTGCTTCGCGTCGGTGTCGTTAAAGTGGTTGTCATGAGGCCTTCCTACTGGGCATGCCATTGGCTGGATGAAAACTGACGTCACCGGTGTTATTGTGCAAGGAGAGGTCGATGCGTATTGGTTGTGCGAGGCCAGCTCGTATACAAGCCAGTCACTGCAAACATGGATGAAGAAAGCCCTGAAATGTTATGATAGATCTATCTAATGTTTCTCAAGCAAGAAAGATGCTGATTTATATTTCCTGCTAGTAAAATGAGCAGATCTCAATCTTCTGAAGAAACAGGAATATAATGTTGCAGGTTGGCTAACCTGAAATTAAGTTCACACTAACTCCAGATCAAACGCAGGCCACCCAGATTCTTACCCCGAAACCGCTCAAAACCTCACTCCAATCTTAACTTATAAGTCTGTCATCTCAATCCTAGTCCTCAAGCTTACCTTAAACCTAGCCATTAACCTAACGTCACACCTAACCATTACTCGAATCCAAAACTTGCCATGTATTTCGTATTTAACCACTTTCTGATGGGTTATTAAGCAACACTGTATCGAAGAATATATACCCTCGCCTTGTTTCCAGAAAGAATAAGGATGAACGCATGTTGGCTGCTCTTACAGCTCGCACATGTCATCATATCAAATTCGCATCATGTTCCACCATTATGGATTGTCGGTCTAAGCTTCAGATACGATCTTTCTTTTACATTCCTAACACTGACATTCAAAGGCTTCTTCTTTTTATCAGAGGGATATGTTTGAATTGACAGGTCAGGTAATAAAACGAATCAACATAATCGCACGAGCTAGCTGTCAAATTTAACTTTGAAAATAGTAGCGGCGGACCACTGTGAGAGGCGATTGGATTTGCATGCTCGGTAAATGCTTATTCAAATCAGTTTATGTTGCAACGAATGACAATTCACAACATTGATCACAGGGGAGTAAATCTCGGGGGATGGGGGCATATACCCCCCACTTTTTGACCAGGGGGGATGGCTTTTGAATCATTGCCCCCTCCCCGCCCCCCCCCCCCCCGCTTTTTCGTCATGAGAAAAAAAATGCGGATTTTGAGGCATTTTTCGAACATCCCTTAACCAAAATGTATTCAATACCACTTAAAAGTACAGAAACTCAAAAGCTTTTAAAAGCGCTGTTTTGAAGTAAGCGCGAGTGTACATGTTGATATACATCTATATCCCGAAGGGCGCCCCCTAGTGTAATGTGATGTTCAGCCTCCCCCTCTTGCCTTTCAAATTTCCACGGCCGGGGCATTTTTTAAATTGTAGTCATCCCCATCCCTCACCCCCCCCCGATTGATTGTAATCATTAAAGGGCCCAAGCAATGTAATTTTGTTTGATGCTATCATTGAACAGGCTTTATAAATGTACGTTTTGCTATTTTGAAGGGTATTTTGGGGCTTTTGGGGTTTTTATGGTAATGCAATGCTTTTTCTTTTTCGATTCCTTGTTGTGCAAGTACATGGCAGTAAGTTCATGAGCAACCCTTTCTCATAATTGGTTTCATTGAGCAAGGTTTGGTTTCACAATTTGAACAGTAAACCCTTAAACTAATCAGTGTCTTCTTGAAGGACATCAAAACAACAGTGCCCTAAGTTGTCCAGAAAAGTACGGAATTTAAAAACAACAACAATGTTTAAAGAAGTGCATGTTTCAATAAAATTCACAAAAAATGGATGTCGAATAGTTTCCATTCATTTCAGAGGAGTGGAAAGTTGCACATAATGTGTTCCTAAGAAAAATGTAATTGCATGGACCCTTACCATAACCTTTTGCCACACAGCCACACATAATCCTCCTGAAAAAATACATGATGAAAAAAACACAGGGGCAAAGATTTCAAGTTATCAGCGAACAGGAAGTCTATCTGGATAGATCATGCACGAGAGTAGTGTTGTTTTGAGCAGTGACATTGAATCGTCTTCTGAAACAACTGGCCCGTATTCAGGTGGGGACGAATAAAGGCCGGAAGCCTCAAGGGTATAGCGTCTTGGCTCGTTTTACAGTCAGAACCAATATTACCAAGTGATGTTTTTCCCCTCGGATGGAAAACATCACCCACATATAAGGTACAGGTGTTTTGTTTTTAGGAACTAAAGAGACAGGAATCAACATTACGAATGTTAAAGAGGCACTGCGTCCTGAAATCCCCCAAAATGTCATGCTTTGGATTGTTTACTTATCCTATTTCAAACATCTGGTTGAAAGGAAACAAACCTAATGTCTTACCGTTCCCGATAGTCCAGGCGATAATTAAAAAAAGGGCTCATTAGGGCAAGAAGAGTCATTTTTTAGTAGAAGTTGGTAACATAGCTATTTTACCTCATTTCAGGGTACTGAATCCGAAAATGATGTACCAAGCTGAATTTTAAGTGGAAATAGGCCCGATTTGCATTAATCGTTAATACCTGTCGTGTTATATATTTTTCCCATATTTGGGTGTATTTTTTATATTTTATTTTTGTGAAAAGTTTATTTTGGTGATTATACTTACACTTCTTTACTTTAATAACATTTTCTGAACACTTGACGGTTGAAATCACAACTAGCACAAACATCCCGATTTTAAGGGGTCGCAAAAGTGGCCCCCGACATTCGTTCTCGAACGAAATAACACAAAATCACCCAGTTTTTAAAGGATGGTGGTGTGGATGTTGCTATCTTTCTTTTTTGAATGTTCTTTCCGATGAACATCACGGTTCAAAACGCTTTTGGTAACCCAACTGGGCGCTTTCCATGACGCAGTACCCTTTAAGATGCTGCGCAGATGGAGACTCGAGAAAGTTGTGTGGCTGCAAATACAATGGGAATAACCCGATCACAGGGGCAAACAGCAAAAGACGCAATTGGGGCTCGTCTTTCAGTTACATAAGGATAAAAAGAATGAGTTTGGACAGAGTATTATATTTGCACGAGAGGGAAGTAAGCATACCCGGGGAATTACGATTTCATTTTCAGTGTTTACTTTCTCCCGAGTACTGACATGTCAGACGTCATAATGGCAAACTGGTTGTCTAAAGTGCATCGACACGTGCTTGGAGAGCAGTTTGGCCATTGACTGTGTGCGGCGTTGCAAAATCGCATTCGGTCTATAATGCATGTTGAGATCTAAGTGGCGCTTCAAGACGACATGGCATCTCCCTTAAGAACACATTTGTGTTTATTTATTGCCTACAAATCGTTGTATAATGGACACAAGAGTACGTACAATATCACAGCCTTATTGAAAAAGGACCTTCTACTATACACGTACAAAGTGAAGTTAAGTAATCTACAGTAGCGTTTTTCTCGCAAATGGCCGTTATAAAGAGACACTAATGTCTGCCTAATGTTTCAAGACCTATTTCTAAGCGTCGCGAACAGCCCAAATGCATTCCTCGTGATACGAAACCTAAAATTTACAAAGTTCAAGGGTGGATCGGAGGGGAGGCAATGGGGCCATGTCCCCCCAAAAGAAATGAATCTTTTTAAAGTGACGTCGCAATAGAGGCAAGCACCGCGTACACTACCATCTTTTCCTCAATCAAGTTTGGTTAAAGTGGTCATAAATTGCTTCAGATCGCACCACAGAGCATGTACAATTCAAAATATTTTCCCACGCCGTAATTTCTAGACCCACTTTTTGGGGGCGACTTTTTGGACCCCTCAAAAATGTGTTCTGGATCCGCCCTTGAGGGTACTTGGTCAAGGTTAGGTTAGGTTCTATGTCATTAAAGTTCGAATTTTGGTCTGCACAAGTCTATGGGAATAATCCCAAGGGTACCATTTCCCGTAAAATTTATTATACTACACAAAATAATTATCCAAAACAACTATTATTGTGTAACCGAAAACAAATCGTTAGTATAACAGGTTTTATAACAACATGTTTGACTTAGTTACATCACCAGACTACCAAAAGCCAGGAAAGAGATTCGACCAGTGAAAAGGCAGTTGTTATCAAATTATTCCACAAGTCTCCATGTTAAATTTTGATGACAACTCACGCCTGCTCCAAACCCTCAAGACATACAAGTACGAGCCCATGTTAGGCCCTACTTGTGACTTGCTGGTAAACTGACTTGTAACTGACTAATGATTTTCAGAGGCAAAAAACACAACCACCATTAAAGTTCTGTCCACGGATCACAAGAAGGTAAGTGTTCTTTCAGCAAAACAAACTTAACAAACCACATACTCACACAGGGATGTGTGTGAATTGTTTTCGTTTTGCTGAAAGAACGCGCACCTTTTTTTTGTGATCCGTGGGCAGAACTTTAAAACGGTGGTTGTGTTTGAAATTCCGTAACTTGAAAAGTGCATAAGTGGTTTGAATGATTCTTGTACTAAAAGAAAGCTTATGAATTGGGCTTTCATATCCTAGATTTTGAAAGTGCTACATGCAGAACTTCACTAAAATAATAGTCCCGACATTTGGGTTCGTTTTTTTTACTCGCCCTGTATATCAATATGTATACTTGCGCTTACATCAAACCCCCGGCGGCGCATTTTAAAAGCTCTTGTACTTTTTCCTTCACTTTTCAGTGCTGGAGGTTCGACAAATACCTCAAAATCCGCATGTTTTTCTCATCACGGAAAAGTGGTGGTGGGGGGGGGGGGGGGGGATGATTCAATAGCCCACCCCCGGTCAAAAAGTGTGGGTGTGTGTGTGTGTGTGTGTGGGGGGGGGGGGATAGATAACCCCCATCCCCTGGGATTTACGCCGCAAGGCAGATTTCGTTATGTTGGACTCATAATAGACTTATGATAGAGATAGACATGATTAACTTTACGATGAACTGACAATTGGCTTCGTAACAACATCTCTATGCAGCGTTTCCCAGGTCCAACAAACATTCTGATGACGAAATCACCAACATTAGAATTGTAAAGTACACAGTCTTGTCTACAACTACTCCAATTACCATAAAGATCCGGTGATGTAAACCAGCAATATCACAGCTATTAACATTCTTAATCTTATCTTAATTTACCCCAGTAAAGGGTTTCATTGTCAAAGTAATTACCGGTGCCTGATCTTTTCTGATTCAAGACAAATCCCAGACTTTAATTATTGCACGAGTGTTATAATTGCGTTTCAGTAGACCACGGTCTATACGTCGAAGGTAATGT